AAATTTGGTAACAGAGAAGAAGAAGAGTATTGAAATTGTTTACATCTATTATATCATAAATACCATAGGAGTATGGTGAATAATAACACTATCGAGCCTGATTATATAATTTGAATTATTACCAATGTATATGAAATATGTGTCATTAATTAATAGTCTTTTAACTTAGTTTCTTAGTGATGAAGTAACCAAAAATTTGGTGATGTAGAAAAAGAAAAATATAGAAATTGTTTACCTCTATTATATCATAATACCATATGAGTATGGTGAATAAATATACTATCTAGCCTCATTATATAATTTGAATTATTACCAACGTGTATGAAATATATGTCATTAATTATTAGTCTTTTAACTTAGTTTCTTAGTGATGAAGAAACCTAAAATTTGGTGAGGGAGAAGAAGAAAAATATTAAAATTGCTTACATCTATTATATCATAATACCATAGGAGTATGGTGAATAATAATACTATCGAGCCTGATTATATAATTTGAATTATTACCAATGTAGATGAAATATGTGTCATTAATTAATAGTCTTTTAACTTAGTTTCTTAGTGATGAAGTAATCTAAAATTTTGTAACGGAGAAGAAGAAAAATATTGAAATTGTTTATATATATTATACCATAACACAATGTGAATATGGTAAACAAATAAACTATCGAGCCTTGTTATATAATTTGCAGTATTACGAATGTATAAGAAATATGTGTCATTAATTAATAGTCTTTTAACTTAGTTTCTTAGTGATAAAGTAACATAAAATTTGGTGATGTAAAAAAAGAAAAATATAGAAATTGTTTACATCTATTATATCATAATACCATATGAGTATGGTGAATAAATATACTATCTAGCCTCATTATTTAATTTTAATTATTACCAACGTGTATGAAATATGTGTCATTAATTAATAGTCTTTTAATTTAGTTTCTTAGTGAAGAAGTAACCTAAAATTTTGTGAGGGAGAAGAAGAAAAATATTGAAATTGTTTACATCTATTATATCATAATACCATATGAGTATGGTGAATAAATATACTATCTAGCCTCATTATATAATTTGAATGATTACCAACGTTTATGAAATATGTGTCATTAATTAATAGCCTTTTAACTTAGTTTCTTAGTGAAGAAGTAACCTAAAATTTTGTGAGGGAGAAGAAGAAAGATAATGAAATTGTTTACATCTGTTTTACCATTATACCATATGAGTATGGTGAATAAATATACTATCGAGCCTCATTATATAATTTGAATTATTATCAACGTATATGAAATATGTGTCATTAATTAATAGTATTTTAACTTAGTTTCTTAGTGATGAAGTAACCTAAAATTTGGTGATGTAGAAAAAGTAAAATATAGAAATTGTTTACATCTATTATATCATAATACCATATTAGTATGGTGAATAAATATACTATCGAGCCTCATTATATAATTTGAATTATTACCAATGTATATGAAATATGTGTCACTAGTTAATAGTCTTTTAACTTAGTTTCTTAGTGATGAAGTAATCTAAAATTTGGTAACAGAGAAGAAGAAAAATATTGAAATTCTTTATATCTATTATACCATAACACAATGTGAATATGGTAAACAAATAAACTATCGAGCCTTGTTATATAATTTGAAATATTACCAATGTTATTAAAATACATGTTATTCATTAAAAGTCTATTAACTTAGTTTCTTAGTGGAGAAGTAACCTAAAATTTGGTGATGGATAAGATGAAAAATAATGAAATTATTTACATCTATTATACCATAATACCATATGAGTATGGTGAATAAATATACTATCGAGTCTCATTATATAATTTGAATTATTACCAATGTATATGAAATGTGTGTCATTAATTAATAGTCTTTTAACATAGTTTCTTAGTGATGAACTAACCTAAAATTTGGTAATGGAGAAGAAGAAAAGTATTGATATTGTTTACATCTATTATACCATAACATAATGTGAATATGGTCAAGAAATAAACTATCTAGCCTTGTTATATAATTTGAATTATTACCAATATATATGAAATATGTGTCATTAATTAATAGTCTTTTAACTTAGTTTCTTAGTGAAGAAGTAACCTAAAATTTGGTGATATAGAAAAAGAAAAATATAGAAATTGTTTACAACTATTATACCATAATAGCATATGAGTATTGTGAATAAATATACTATCGAGCCTCATTATATAATTTTAATTATTACCAATGTATATAAAATATGTGTCATTAATTAATAGTCTTTTAACTTAGTATCTTAGTGATGAAGTAACCTAAAATTTGGTGATGTAGAAAAAGAAAAATATAGAAATTGTTTAGATCTATTATATCATAATACCATAGGAGTATGTTGAATAATAATACTATCGAGCCTGATTATATAATTTGAATTATTACCAATGTATATGAAATATGTGTCATTAGTTAATAGTCTTTTAACTTAATTTCTTAGTGATGAAGTAATCTAAAATTTGGTAACCGGAGAAGAAGAAAAATATTGAAATTGTTTATATCTATTATACCATAACACAATGTGAATATGGTAAACAAATAAACTATTGAGCCTTTTTATATAATTTGAAATATTACCAATGTATAATAAATATGTGTCATTAACTAATAGTCTTTTAACTTAGTTTCTTAGTGATGAAGTAACCTAAAATTTGGTGATGTAGAAAAAGAAAAATATTAAAATTCTTTACATTTATTATATCATAATACCATATGAGTATGGTGAATAAATATACTATCTAGTCTCATTATATAATTTGAATTATTACCAACGTATATAAAATACATGTTATTCATTAAAAGTCTTGTAACTTAGTTTCTTAGTGTAGAAGTAACCAAAAATTTAGTGATGGAGAACAAGAAATATATTGAAACTGTTTACATCTATTATACCCTAATACCATATAAGTATAGTGAATAAATATATTATCGAGCCTAATTATATAATTTGAATTATTACCAATGTATTTGAAATACGTGTCATTAATTAATATTCTTTTAACTTAGTTTCTTAATGATGAAGTAACCTAAATTTTGGAGATGGATAAGATGAAAAATATTGAAATTATCTACATCTATTATACCATAATACCATATGAGTATGGTGAATAAATATACTACCGAGCCTCATTATATAATTTTAATTATTACCAATGTATATGAAATATGTGTCACTAATTAATAGTCTTTTAACTTAATTTCTTTGTGATGAAGTAACTTAAAATTTGGTGAGGGAGAAGAAGAAAAATATTGAAATTGTTTACATCTATTATACCATTATACCATATTAGTATGGTGAATAAATATACTATCGAGCCTCATTATATAATTTGAATTATTACCAATGTATATAAAATACATGTTATTCATTAAAAGTCTTTTAACTTAGTTTCTTAGTGGAGAAGTAACCTAAAATTTGGTGAGGGGGAAGAAGAAAAATATTGAAATTGTTTACATCTATTATACCCTAATACCATATAAGTATAGTGAATAAATATACTATCGATTCTAATTATATAATTTGAATTATTACCAATGTATTTGAAATACGTGTCATTATTTAATATTCTTTTAACTTAGTTTCTTAGTAATGAAGTAACCTAAATTTTGGTGATGGATAAGATGAAAAATATTGAAATTAGTTACATCTATTATACCATAATACCATATGAGTATGGTCAATAAATAAACTATCGAGCATCATTATATAATTTGAATTATTACCAACGTGTATGAAATATGTGTCATTAATTAATCTTTTAACTTAGTTTTTTAGTGAAGAAGTAACCTAAAATTTGGTGAGGGAGAAGAAGAAAAATATTGAAATTGTTTACATTTATTATACCATAATACCATATTAGTATGGTGAATAAATATACTATCGAGCCTCATTATATAATTTGAATTATTACCAATGTATATAAAATACATGTTATTCATTAAAAGTCTTTTAACTTAGTTTCTTAGTAGAGAAGTAACCTAAAATTTGGTGAGGGGGAAGAAGAAAAATATTGAAATTGTTTACATCTATTATAAACTAATACCATATAAGTATAGTAAATAAATATACTATTGATTCTAATTATATAATTTGAATTATTACCAATGTATTTGAAATACGTGTTATTAATTAATATTCTTTTAACTTAGTTTCTTAGTGATGAAGTAACCTAAATTTTGGTGATGGATAAGATGAAAAATATTGAAATTATTTACATCTATTATACCATAATACCATATGAGTATGGTGAATAAATATACAATCGAGCCTCATTATGTAATTTGAATTATTACCAATGTGTATGAAATATGTGTAATTAGATAATAGTCTTTTAACTTAGTTTCTTAGTGATGAAGTAACCTAAAATTTGTTGAGGGAGAAGAAGAAAAATATTGAAATTGTTTATATCTATTATATGATAATACCATATGAATATGGTGAATGAACATACTATCGAGCCTGATTATATAATTTGAATTATTACCAATGTATATGAAATATGTGTCATTAATTAATAGTCTTTTAACTTAGTTTCTTAGTGAAAAATTAACCTAAAATTTGGTGATGTAAATAAAGAAAAATTT